ATCGTAGTCAGAGCAGTCATCTGATGGCCTGTACTTGTAGTATTCGTTACAGTTGTCCGACAGCTTACACAAGCACAGCCAAGGAAGTACGTCATACCATTGATGCTTCCAGAAATGATCGCCTGGACTGTACCTGTCGGCTGTTCCTCCCCCAGGGGGGCCAACCAGAATGTTACCGTCATTTCCATAGCAACACTGCTGGCCTGCTCCTGATGGCAGTGAATTAACAGACCGATAACAGACGTCGGCACCGGGATGGAAGAAGAAATTGGCAAAATTGGCTTCCTGGAAGTTCAGCATGTCACGTCTAGCCAGCCCAGTGTTGCAGGGGCAGGGGGGAAGTCCCGTAGGCTGAGTATTTCTCAACTGGTACTTGGAAACTTCACAAGTAATTAAACTCAAAATGAAAACTAACGGAGAGTAAATCCTCAAACCCCTCAACAGTGGCCCACCGATATTCCTTCGTTGTCGTGCGGAAGACGGTGTAAGATAAAACGTTGAGAGAGACAGTCCACCATTAGAGAAGGATCGGAGCTCATTTGGATTGATCGTTAGACTACCGTTGTTCAAGACGTCTTCCTTCAACACTCCACCTTCCATTAAAACTGGATTTCCCTCGCTGTTGTAATCGGTGTCTTGACCCATTAAAGTCACATGTGAGACGTCCTCACCAAGACTACTACGGTTCCAGGATAACACGATTGGGTTATTTAAGGTGAGGTCAATGATGCCATTGCCATACTCCGAATTCACCTGTTGGACACTGACCAATGGAAGAAGGTCTTCTTCAGATGCGACGTAGACTATGCCAGAATAGGGGAAGGATTTTCCGTCGTCAAGTGAGACATAAACAGGTGTTAGTCCGTTCTTGTAGAAGGTGGGAGTGATACAGATGACAGTGTAGGAGTCGGTGCGTTCACCAGCCACCTCAACGTCTCCAAACCCAGTGGAGAATTTACACTTTGCATTTTGAAAGGATAAGCTGTTTGTCTGTAAACAGGGAACAGTTACCGTAAAAACTTCGCCACCAAGTTCTCGAAAATAGTAACGCGTCAAACGGAGCAACTGTTCATTGCTTGGAAGAGACAAACCTGCAGCGTAGCCATATGTCTCGTAACGTTCGTAGCCATAGACAATGACAGACAACGGTGACGACTCTGGATCCATCTGTTCGACGAAGTATACGCCTTCTCCTCGAGGCAGTTGAACAGTGAGAGATATGTAGTTAGTGTTGGGAACCTCGATTTCTGCTAAAGTATTGTTAATTGGTGAACCGTTCAAGTAAACAGTTTGGCGTCCGTCAACTCTCACGACAATACTGATGAAATTTAAAAAACCGTCAGAACCCCCGCCTGCAGAACGTGGAGGTGTTGTAAATCCGAATAAGAATCCATACTGTTCTTCCGCAGGGACTTGAATCAAAGAAGGATCAACAGTTTTGCCATTCACAGACGCCAAATGCTGTAACATAAGAGTGGGTTTGTTAGACGTGACGAGACCGGAACCTGACAGACGCCCCTCCCAGAATTCACCTG